CCCACGTGATCCAAACCCCTGAACAAAAATATTATCTCACTAAGCTACTTGACTATGAGTTTGACATTGAATATCGGTTCGACCATAGCAATGCTGCTGCTGATGCTCTATCTCGGGTTCCTGCTGAATATCTGCATACTTACTCTACCTTCGAAGGTAGTTTGATGGAAGACTTAAGAGCAGTTCAACTTACTGACCCTGAATTATAGCAACTGCATGAGCAACATAAGCAGTTTCTTCTGCCTGAAGGTTATTCAGTCCAGCATGGCCTCCTATTGTTCAACAAGAAACTTTTCCTTCCTAGTACTTCACCCTTGAATGATCAAATCTTACTTGAATTCCATAGCTCACCCCAAGGGGGACATTTTGGCATTCTTAAGACTTATAAAAGGGTTGCAAAACAGTTTTATTGGAAAAACATGAAGAACATTGTGGCAAATTTTATTTCTTCTTGTCTGATTTGTCAACAAACCAAATACATGACTACTAAGCAACCTGGTCTCTTGCAACCTCTTCCTATTCCAGCAGCACCATGGACAAAATTATCTATGGATTTTATTATTGGTTTACCAAATTCAGCTGGTTACACTGCAGTATTGGTGGTGGTTGATAGACTGACTAAGGTAGCACATTTTAGCCCCCTTAAGCCTAATTTCACTGCAAAATTTGTTGCTGAAGTGTTTATGAACTCTGTTCTCAAGTTGCATGGGTTTTCATTGGGGATTGTTTCTGATCGTGATCCTATTTTTCTAAACACTTTGGAAACAATTGATGTTACATGGAGGCACTAAACTCCATCATTCCTCAGCCTACCACCCACAGAGTGATGGCCAAACTGAAGTTGTCAATAGATATTTGGAATAATACCTCAGAGCTTTTGCTTCTAATCAACCATCCTTGTGGCATAAATACTTATCCTTGACTGAATTATGCTACAATACCACACATCATAGCACTATCGGTATGTCACCTCATCAAGCTCTTTATGGCTACAATCCCAAGTTGCTCCCTACTTACATCCCTGGTTCTGCTTCTGCTGAGGAAGTAGATATCACTTTAGTGAATAGACAACAACTACAACAGCAACTCCAACATCAAATCTCCCAAGCTCAGTCTCGCATGAAAAAATATATTGACTCTAAAAGAAGAGATGCAGAATTTGAGATAGGCCAATGGGTTTGGGCCAAATTCCATCATTACAAATAGCAGTTTGCTGTAAAAAGACTAAATTTCAAATTAGCAAAACGATACTTTGGGCCATTTTTAATTTTAGCAAGGATCGGCAAGGTTGCATATAGACTTGATATCCCCTCTAATTGTAAAATCCATCCTGTGCTACATGTTTCCTTATTAAAACCTTACAAGGGCCCCCTACCACCCCTATTCTGTGGTTTATGAGGAGTCACAACTTCCACCTCTTCCCTTGCCTCAAGCAATCATGGCAGAACGCTAGACTGAGACACCTGAAGGACTCGACTATCAAGTATTAGTGGAATGGAACCACCAGGCCAGGGAACATGCTACATGGGAAGATTGAAATACCTTGGTTGATCTTTACACAGTATCGGCCCTTGAGGACAAGGTCCTTTTCCAACAAGGGGTAATGATACGATCCTAGATCATCATAACGGGAACCAAAGGATGAAAGGAGCCCCAAGTTAGGCCACAGACTTTGTATCCGAAATATAGTATAAGGAATATAGTTAGTTAAGTGGTTAGTTGAGTTGCTAAATATGAAGGACCTTTATTCTGATTGGTTGATAAGGTAGTTAGTTAGATATTGATAGGAATTGTTGTAATTAGTGAAACCATATTAGTATATAAGGACCTCCTCTATCAATTGTAATGGATATTTTTTGGAGATATCAATAAAACTAACAGAGGGTACCGTCTCTCTTTCCTTGGAGTTCTAAACCTGACTCGAAGAAGGTTTAACAACCATCTTATCTAACATGAATTTTTACTATTTAATTTAATTTTATAATAACGCATAATTATTTGTATTTAATATATTTTAGTATCATTATGGTTGGTTAACTAAAGAAAATGTAAAATGTCAAAGGTATTAGACAACTACAGTCGAATACATGTCCTATTTGGTTTTCCCAAATTTTTTGTCCATATAAATTCAAAAACAAACAATTTATCATGCTAAGCTTTCCATATATTTTTATCTTGATCCAATTTTGTAAATTTTAAATAGTCAAAAAGCATTTATGCCCGCAATAAGATTGTATGAGTAAGAAAACTATAGGGATAGTTTATGTGAAAATTTAGGTAATTTTTGTCTCATGATCCTCTCTTTCTTGTCATAGTATATTCTTAAATACAATTCAATAAGAATAATTAAAGAAAACATTAAAAAATTTTTTTTAATAAAACTAAGACTATTTGCACCAACTAATAAAAAAATTGATGCTAAAGCTACTAAAAGGAAATCTAAACTAGAAAAAGCATCTAAAAGATCATTAAATTGAAGAAATTATGCATATATGAAAGAAGAGGATTCCACTTTATGCGTAATGGGTAGAATAAGGTCATAATTTAGAATAGGTTCAAATTAGAAGACTTATCTTTCAATAGTAAAAAAATATAATAAATAAGTTATCATGCTCTTTAAAAAAACTAATAAAATTCTATCTCCAATAGTTTAAGGAGTAATTTGATATTCTAAATATATTAACTAATGTAATGGTCCTCTAGATCTACTTATCACCTATCCTGAATAAAGTTACATAATAATCCAATTTTAAGAATTGGATAAGTGCACTGTGTCGTTTTACAATTTTTTAAAGCAGTCACTTATAAAATAATAATGTAACTATTTTAAAGGTAATTATAAAAAATAGTAAACATGTAACTGCTCTTTAAAGCCACGATTGAAGAGTTATTATATTTCAATTGCTCTTACAAATTAAAATTTCAAAAAAATTCTAATAACTTCTAACTTATAAACTCATGTAGGATAAATCATCATTAAACTTGCAACTTTATAAACCTCTCCTTCTTTGTTTTTTCTAAGTTAACAAAGTTAGTCCTTTCGAAGGATCTAGGTACCTTTTTCACACATCTCTCTCTATTTTCTCTTTCTTTCTTTTTCTTTCTTTATTAACAATAAAACTTCCTATTATTTTGAATTTTTTTTGTTTATTGGTGCTTCGTTCATTTAGATATGAATTGTTTGGTTACTATAGTATACAAACTCGAGTTTTAACGAGACAAAGAATCAAAATTAGTTTGTGATAAGAGAAATTCACAAATGAAAAAATTTTGAATTTTAGACACACGAACTTAAGTTTAAACGTAACAATAAATTAATTTTGGTTTGTAATAAAAACTCAAGAAGGAACAAATTTTAAATTTTAGATTCACAGTTTATATTTTGAAAAACGATTAATCTCTCTCTAGTGTCTTTTTTGTTAGAGTAGAGATGAATTATTGATGTAACATTTTAAGTTTACATTTATAGTTTTATTTTAATTAATAAACACTTTCATATGATTTTTTTTTATAGTTTTTACCATTATCTACTTATTTGAATAAATTGGGCCTATTACAAATAAATGTTTTAATTTTGTATTTTTAGTTATTTTGACCTCTAACTATTATTTCTGTTATAATTATTTCTACAGATATTGTTTTTTAGCTGATTCCAGTTGCATTGGATTCTACACATCCAGGGCTTCAAAATACATATATGGATAGCTAGATTTAGAGTTTTTTTTCAAGTTTTTATGATTTTTTGAAGTTGAGGCAGATTTGCTAAATATTTTTGTAGGATTGCATTTAGACCTTTATTATTTAATAATTGTATTTGTACTTTTAGATATTATTGAGGCTCGAATTTTGGCCACTTAATTTACCTTAATCTAAATCTATAAATAGACTAATAAGGTTCTGAATTAGGAGAGGATGTGATTAAACACTTTGAGATTTTGAAACTTGGTCAAAATAAGAATCATTGTTTTTACTTTTTCTCGAACTCTCTCGTTCTTTTCTCATACTTGCGTTAATTAAGTGTTTCGATCTAATTCAATTTGCGGAATCCAAACGCTATAATTCTAACTTGAGTTTTGCACTAAATTACTCTGAGTTTATTCTCTTTTTCTATCTAATCTCATAATTGTGTATTGCAATTGTGATTAACTTTTCTATTGTTAGAATTTAAATTAAGACTCGATTGATGCTTGATTTGATAATTAATGCTGATTAAATTAAATGATTATTTGACTTAATTCGTAACTTTATTTAATTAAGTTATTCGATTGAATTAATAATTAAATTGAGTAATTATTTAAACTTAAATTTAAATCTTTAGATACTGTGATAGTCAAAATTACACTCATTTGATATTTTGTAAATTGATTTTTTTAATTCATTTTTACGCAATTTTATTATGTTTATAATTCAATTTAATTAATTTGCAATTTTCAAAATCTAATCAATAAAGTCATATCCTTATAATTCAGGCAGAAAGCCCACGTTCAGACAATTATGATAAAATTTTTTGGTATAAAAAAAATTGTATTTCACTACTTCAAGAAATGAAACTTAAATATTATTTATATATATATATATATATAGTGGTTGGTTACTTTTAATAAAGAAACATAATTTTTTTATTTTAATTTCATGAGGTCTACAAAACTAATTTTAGATATGAATTTAAACTACACCAAATATATAAATTATTTAGATTTCATATGCTTTTAGTATTTTATTTCAAAATTTATATTGATCAGGATAATCTTGCTCAAATGCTAGAAGAGGAAAAGGAAAGAAGGCTTCATATGTTGTGCTCTTTAGTGGCGACTTCTAAGCCTATTAGTTTGTGTGGGGAGCAAATCCTCTCGTGTTCCAAAAAGATTGGACACCATCTAATCTGACCGTTCCTTGATTTAAAATGAAATATCATATCACTTGCCTAACAACCATAAAGGATAAATTTATATTTTATTCTAATTTTGCTAATAAAATAAAAAATAAAAGGGCGTTGAGGAGCGTGGTGGTAAAAGAAAGACGGCACAACGGAAGCTGCTTTTTGAACGGACTAGTTAAAGAAACGAATGGCATAACAGGAGGCATATTCGACGCCCTTACTCATACCTAACATAACACTCAGAAAAACACCACAAAACAAAAACGACCATTCGTTTCAGCTTACACGACGAAATCAAGAGAGAGGGGATGCCGGAAGAAACGACGTCGATCGATTACGTGATGGAGGCAGCGTCTGGGCCCCACTTCTCTGGCCTCAGACTCGACGCATCTCCCACACACGATTCAACCCTAACCCCCGATTACCTTCCCAATCAACCCTTCGTCATAGGTCTCTTTTTTCTTTTTCATTTTCATAAATAATCTTTCTTTTTCCCACCCTTTTTTGTTTTAATTTAATTTAATTTTAAAATGTAGGAGTTTCGGGAGGTACTGCTTCGGGGAAGACCACCGTTTGCGACATGATCATTCAGCAGCTTCACGATCACCGCGTCGTCCTCGTCAATCAGGTACACTTGTATTTTCTTTCTTTTTGTTTTCCTTCTTTTTAATTTTCTTTTCTATTTTTAAATTATTTCTTTTTTGTTCTGAAGGACTCGTTCTATCGCGGGTTGAGACCTGAGGAGTTGGAACACGTTCACGAGTACAATTTCGACCACCCTGGTAATTTCCGTATTCCGAGTCGCTGTTCAGTGAGCGCGTGAGTTTAGTTCCCTCTCATGAGCGCGTCTTGTGCTGTTGTGTAGATGCTTTTGACACTGAGCAACTGTTAGAGTGCATGAGGACACTCATCAGCGGCCAGAGCGTTCAAGTCCCTATTTACGATTTCAAGAAGCACCAACGCTCTTCCGATAGCTTTCGCCAAGTACTTTCAACGTTATTCTTTTGATTTCGAAGACTTGTTTGGTTTTGGGCTTTGTTTTGTAGGAATTGACTTCTCTTGTTTTTGCTCAGGTCAATGCCTCTGATGTGATTATATTGGAGGGAATTCTTGTATTCCACGATCAGGGTGTCCGCGATCTGATGAACATGAAGATATTTGTTGACACAGGTTTGATGCATTTGTATCACCCTCCTTCAATCACTCTGTCACGTGTGTGTTTATGAGTATGTCTCATTGTTGTGTTCTGCTGCGTTTCTGTGAGTGCTTAATGAAATAGAATGGTTGAAAACATGCATGAATAATTTGTTTCAGAATATGAAAACACTGCAACATATCTCTTATATGTTCTGTCACATGATATGAAGGTTTAGTAAACCTTTTTTCTCCGTACTTTCCCTATGGTCATCGCCTTTCCTCTGTCATTGCAGTGGAAGATCCTTCCCCTCGCTAGTCCCTACTCTGTGTCTAATTTTATATTTGGTTATTAATTGCTTACAGATGCTGATGTGAGACTTGCTCGTAGAATTAGACGTGACACAGTGGAGAGGGGCAGGGATATAAACTCTGTACTTGAACAGGTAAGTCCAACAATTTAGTTAGTAACCATGGTTTTACAGCAGTTAGGCTAATAATGATAACTCTTTCATATGAATTTATTTATTTTGAGAAAGTTTGATATATGGACAGAGAAAATTGAGAATTTCACAGTCCTCGTGACATGTGATTAATCGCATTGCATATTTGTTCCTAACTGCTTGTTCTGTTGGTTTTGTAGTATGCAAAGTTTGTTAAGCCTGCATTTGATGATTTTGTTCTACCATCAAAAAAGTATGCTGATGTGATAATTCCTCGTGGAGGTGATAATCATGTTGCCATTGATTTGATTGTGCAACATATCCGCACGAAGCTTGGCCAACATGATCTATGTAAAATATACCCAAACGTTTATGTTATTCAGTCTACATTCCAGGTATCTCTAAATTTATTTCGTCATTTTTTTCCCATTTTTAATGATAAAATTTGGGGAAGATCCGGTGGCACATCTATGCTATTCACACAGACAGACTGGATTACCTTTTGAAGCTTTACAGTTGCTTTAATGTATAATTTTTTATTCTTCCTGGAAGTGAAAAGAAAATTGTCCTTAAGTTTTATGTTTTTGAGTCATAAGAATTGTTATTTCAATGTAACCGAAGTACTTGGTTTAATTATAATTAATGACCAAGAAAAGTATTTTGATGAGACAGAAAGATTATTGATGTTTTTAGATTTAATCCAGATGGTGCAGAAACTAGAAATTGAGAATAATCACGATTCATGGCCACAGCTTGTCATTCATATATATGGTAACTAAATGATACAAATGCATGGGCCGTGGTATGGAGGTTGGAATATCTTTTGTGAATAGAAAAGAACATAGGTTGTTTATACTTTGGTAATTCTTGCTATTCCCTTTTCTGTTCACAGGCTACAAGGTGGTATAATGTTAGGTAAGCCGAGTGGGCTGGTTTCTGTTAAATGAGGTAGGTAGAGTTAGCTAGTAATAGTTAGTTAGGATTCTAATTTCTAACTGATTGACAGAGTTTGGATATAAATAAATCAGGAGAGATTGAGAAGACTAAGGGACTAGGTTTTCGGAGAGAGATCTTAGCCTCTCAGTCCTGAGAGAGCACTGTCTGTGTTCTTTGCCAATGAACATTGTTTTCTTTTTCTATAATCTGACCCAGTTCTACCAACTGGTATCATAGCTAGTGTCTTAAGAGCTATGGGGTATTGAATCGTGAAGGTAATTCCGACAGTTGAAGGAGAAGAGGTGTATCATGTATGGGTGGTCAATCAGCATGGAGTAGCACACAAGTGCTGCAGAAAACCAGAGGTTGAGAACCTATCACTGGCTGTAATGGCTTCATTGGGTGTGCCTTCTGTTTGTGGCTTTGGTGCAAATGGCACAATCTGAATGCATTGTGGTTGGGAACATCTAAAGAGATATTTTCCAAATATTGAGGAGGGAAAAAAGCTTTTGTCGAATTTCCTAATTTCTTATTTTGTGCTAGTGACTGCCTTATTTGATTCTGTTGTATATAGATGGACATTGGACCTAAAAATTTAGTGGGTGATTCATTGATTCTTTCTACTCCAAAAACTTGCCTTAAATCATCTTGATAGACTTGTTCTTCATCATGCTATGAGATGAATGGAAGTGCATAATCCTTTATTCATTCATTGAAGAGAAATAAAATGGATCCAAAAATAGTAGAAGATTTAGTTTATGTGAATCCTTTGACTTCTGTCTAGGGGAGATGAATGGTATACTAAAGGAGAGACAAGGTTGTGGGACATTAATGGAGAAGTACATGATCCAGTTTATGATGGTGTTGGACTTATTCGATTGGCTGAGTTATCTCTTGATGAACCAAACTTAATTTATATATTACCTTGATTATCTGTGTCAAATTTTGTCAAAATTGAACAACTATAAGAATGTAATCAAAGGGTCCTTGTATTCATATGTTTCAAAAATATATATATTACGTTAATTTTGATGTATATGAATAAGGTATCAAATATTGTGGTCAAGGTGAATATTGTGGGGAGCGGGGTTGATTTGTTCATCTTAATCTGATGCATTAATGTAGTATATTGATTTGTTCATCTACACTTGATCCTTAATTGGTTATGCTTATACATTTCAGATAAGGGGGATGCACACTTTGATTCGAGACCGAGACATATCAAAGCATGATTTTGTATTTTATTCAGATCGACTTATACGACTGGTACTGTGTATGCCTTATAGACTGCTGAATTTCCTTGGTTCATAGGTTTTATTACTTACTACATGAGACATAACCACCTTTCTTGATCTTGGTTATCAGGTTGTTGAGCATGGTCTAGGTCATCTGCCTTTCACTGAAAAGCAAGTGGTTACTCCAACAGGTAATCATCTGTCCTTGTCCTCAGTCCTGCCATGTTTTCATGTTCATTGCAATTCCTTCTACTGCAGCTTGTCTGGTATAGAAGCAACATTAGTACACAAATTGATGTATGTGTTGACGGCAGTAATTAACTGAAATGTGTTTTGTATTACAGGATCAGTCTATACTGGTGTTGATTTCTGCAAGAAGTTGTGTGGTGTTTCAATTGTTCGAAGGTGAGCTTTGAACCAGGTATTAATTTTAGCGGGTGCAGTCTAAATGATAGGATACTGGTAGAAATGCAATGATGTAACTAAGTGGGTTTATCATCCAGCAAACGTTGAGTCCTAATACTAAAAATGCAGTTTTTCACTTCCATACTGTCTAGGCTACATCCTGTAGGCTTATATTTGTTATTGCTTTTGGATTATAGTGGTGAGAGCATGGAAAATGCACTTCGTGCATGTTGTAAGGGAATTAAAATTGGAAAAATTCTGATTCACCGGGATGGAGACAATGGAAAACAGGTAAATATATCATTTGGAACTGATGAACTTGACTTAGAGCAGCCCTCATGTGTAGTTTCTCTACGGATGTGGTTTGTGTTTAATGGTAAAACCCTTTGCATCTCTGGGCAGCTTATATACGAGAAGCTCCCCAAGGATATTTCAGAACGGCATGTCTTGCTTCTTGATCCTGTCCTTGCCACAGGTGAAATTTTGAAATGTCCATTTTTCCACTTTATCTACCTCTACTGTGTCATATTTCAATAGACTTCCTGAAACCCTTTATGTCAGCAGCAAATGGTCACAGTTTTTTTTGCGTCCTTCAAATTCATGGGAAAAGAAAAAAACACCCATTTAATAATTTTTATTTCTTATAGTTCTTTATTTTGCTCATTGCTGATAAAAAGAATTAACATCAATAACTTCCATTTTAGGTAACTCTGCTAACCAGGCAATTGAATTACTCATTCAGAAAGGAGTACCCGAAAATCACATTATATTCCTGAATCTCATTTCTGTGAGTTAATTTTTATGCCTTCTTTGCAGAAGTAGTCATGGTTATTTGATTATCATTTCACACTGTTTATATACATGAATCTCATGACACTTTTTGAATTTAGGCTCCTGAGGGAATCCATTGTGTGTGTAAAAGGTTTCCATCTTTGAAAATTGTCACGTCTGAGATTGATGTTGCATTAAATGAGGAGTTTCGTGTTATCCCGGGATTGGGTGAGTTTGGTGATCGCTATTTTGGTACCGATGATTGATCCAGCAGAGTGACCTGAGGTACAGACACCTTCTGGGTAGCAACTGTCTTGATTAAGAATGTGAAAAGAAGCTCGCTGCATTGTAATGAGACATTAAAGATTCAGCAAAAGCCAATTTGGTTGTGAATTGTGATGTAAGGCAGGCATATTAGAATAACATAAATGCAAACTCACTCTTAGGTTGATTCTCAGCTTATTGAATTTACAGATAAATCCTTTCCAAATGTTATCAAATACAAATTCAGGAGATAATTCAACCCATCTAGTTGAGCAAAGGTTATGAGGAAAAAATTTTTCCTTAGGTAAAGCAATCTATGCGTGTTATATTTTAATTATTTTATGCGAAAAAAATACAATGAAGTTGATTTTTTTAAAAAAATTTATTTCTTAAACAATTTCTGCATTTATCAACTATATATATATATATTAGTTGAGGTGGTTTAACTAAACGGAAGATTGAAATAACAACTTAGTTAAATTTAAATTGGTTTCCTATTTGTACATATTTTATATTAAAAAAATGTATATTAAATGATTATATAAGCGAGGAACTAATCAAATGTTTTAAATTTTTCTTTTTAGAGGATAATACAATTTCTTTTGGGTAATTTACTCTACGTCCTTTGTTTTGCACATGCCCTTGGGTACCCAATTCTCTCTTCTACCCCCTATTTTGCGTGTGGTAACAATCTGTTTCGTGCACAAATGAGGATAATACATTATTCTCTTGTGTGAATTTTCTGAAAGTTTGAAATTACAAATTACTCTCTGAATGACTTTAAAATGTGCAAAACAAATCTTAATACATCAGTCGCTGTTAATGGACATAATATGACAATTTTAATGGTAAAAAATTGCAATGCTCTGGGTGCAAATGGTGGATAATGTATATGTAACGTTTTAAATTCTCTTACCGTTTGTTTGGGATGGATACCGAGTCAAATAAAGAGGTAAATACCAAAGTCTTTGAATTGGAAAAATGAGGATTTATCCCCTTCTCTTAACCATAAATGGAGGTAGATTTCGGCATTCTCCCTTTCCTTTTCAAAAGAAAGTTGGAGGATGGGTACACATTAATTCTTGACCGTTAATAGGAATTATGAAAAATTGGATGGATAGGATTACAAGCTGTTAAAATAATGTAACTCATTATCATTGGTGAACCCCTCTCAATTCCAATCATATCGTCTTCTTGTCATTGGTCTCAACACAGTGCTTTTAGCTTCTTGCATGAGTGAGAGGTTGAAGTTGATGGAATGAAAGTTGAAGTTTGTTAAACTTATACGTATATTTATTCCTGTTAGATGGTCCTTTTTATTTTTATTTTTATTATTACAACAAACAACAGAACAACTAACAAATCATTTTGGAAAAACAAATTCCTCTATCATCCTCTTGGAGGATGGGAACAAGCTGATGAGGGAAAAAATTGAAAACAAGTTTATCCTCATGCACTTGAAAAGCCTAATGGAAAATATCAGCAACTTGATTTCCCTAATCACCCAGTATATATCTTATGATTAAGAGAAACATTAGAATTGACTAAAGTTATGGCTAATTTTGAGTCCATTTCAACAAAGATGCCCTCCAACTTGCGGCTTTAACTAGCCTAAATTTCATTAAAAGTGCGCACAATTCAGACTGAATAATAGAACAATGACTCAACTTCCTTATAGAACCAGCACAAAAGCTGTCTTGATCATCCCTGATCAGGCCTCTACATGAAGCCAACGCCGAACCCATGAACGCCATCCACATTAAGCTTGAAACCTAGAACGGGGGAGGGGTCCAACCAACAAGAATTTCGTGCCTACAATAACTAGTTGAGATGTACCTACAATAACAATTCAGTTTACATAGAAAATCTTTTGAATTCAGAGATTTCCTATTTAACCACAACCACCAAATAACAATACCAAATTGAATATTCCAGTTATTTATCCCATTGAAACATTTACATTTGAAATTAAAAACAAGTCATCTAGATAGCGCCAAGCTGAAAAAAGAAACCCAACTATCTCCAACAGCAAAATTTTCCAAATCAAACTTAATATCTCAGAATCATCACAATCACTATCATTATCTAAAAGGTGATAAGTAAAGCATAAAGAAAAATTCCCATTAGAAGAAGGAAACCAGCCAGCCACATCTGGGCCAACACTAATTCTGACAATAATCAAATTGTTCAAAAACTTGTTTAGTTTGGGCCGTAATATAGGAGGAAATTTTTTCCCAGTCCCAATCATTGTTTGAGATGAAACAGGCCATTGGAAGGTTTAACATAGACTCTGGAACATCAGTATTTAAATCTTTCAGACATCTAATACCAGGAATCCAAAAATCTTCCCAGAATTTAGTTTTGAAACCATTGCCTAAAATCCAAGAAAGACCTTTTCTTAAGCTAGACCAAGCATTATATCCTTTCCAACTAGTAAAAGCAGACCCTGAGTGAGGGATAATAGGATCATAATCTAAATTAAATTTATATTTTGCTAAAAGAACCCTAACCCAAAGATTGTTAGGACCATTGATCATCTGCCAACCATGTTTCATCATATAAGCTATATTAGTCTTATGAATGTCTCTGAAACCTAAGCCTCTTGAGATTTGGGTTTACAAATATTCTTCCAACCTATTCAATGACATTTCTTACTACCAGCAGAGGAACTCCATATAAAATTCCTACAAATTTTATTTATTTCATCACAAATGCCTATAGGAATCAGGTGAGATTACATTATATAATTAGAAATACTCTTAATACTAGATTGAGCTAAAGTAACTCTGTCCGCAAAGGAAACTACTTGACTTTCCAGTTAGATAAGTTTTTCCTAATTTTATCAATTAGATTAGAATAAATTTTTTGGATTTCTTACCGGAGACAGGAACACCTAAGTAAGAGTCAATATTATTAGTCCATCTAATGTCTAATTCTTGACTAAAGAACTTTTTTGCATCTAAACTAGTATTTACTAAGAAAAAAAATAAGAATTTATCATAATTTTCTTGCTTGCTAGAAGCCTTACAGAAAAGGTTCATCATGAATTTAATAATTCTGATTTGATCCAAGTAGGCTTCTGCAACTAGAAGCAAATCATATGCATAACAAAAGGTGAGAAATCCCATGGCCTTTCTTTCCAAAGTTAAAAAGGTGCCATTACCATTATTAATCATAGACTTCTGAATATAGTGAGCTAACCTTTCTAAACAAAAAACGAAAACATAGGGAGAAAAAGGATTTCCTTAAAAAATACCCCTAGAAGGAAGAAAACTATTTAAAAGTTCACCATTACAATTAATTTGAAAAGAAGAGGAGATACATTCAATAACCAAGTCAGTCCAAGATTTTCAAAACCTACCATGTCTAAAGTTTCTCTAATAAAATTCCAGCTAAACTTATCATAGGCTTTATTTAGATTAAGTTTTAAAATCATATTTTGAATTTTCCCTTTAGATTATTAAAGGAATGGATTACTTCTTGAAGAATAATTACATTATCAATTCCTTTGTCCACGGGGGATAAAGCTACTCTGATTTTTGGCAATGAGATTGGGAAGAAGAAATTTAATCCTATTGGTTAAAAATTTAGTGACAATTTTGTAAATAATATTGCAAAGAGAAATTGGTTTGTATTTAAAAATATTTTCAAAATTTTGACCTTTGAGAATGAGTTAAAATGGTCTAGTTCATAGTAGCAATTATAGAAGAATTAACAAAAACTCATTTATAAATTTAAAAATACGAGGGTGAGAATATTTCATTTGGATTTAAAAAACAAGACATGCAATCTATCTAGGCCAGAAGATTTTAGATTGGTCAGTTAGTATTTAGTTTTTTTTATTAATTTGTTTGTTAGCTTTATTTTTTCAGCAACTTTAAATAGCTTCCCCCTCATGTATTTTCCTTTGAGATGAATGAAGAAATCTTTCTGTAATCTTGGTGACATTATATTCCATCGCATGACAAAGTTCATGATAAAGGGATCTTAGAATGACAAATCTCCCAATTATACTTTGTACTCCCATTAAAATCAATAAAAAGAAAGTCACTTCATATAAACCCTAAATCTTGATTTATATGGAAAGAGTACTCCATCGAATAGAACCATTATGTACGCTCTAGTGTAACGAATAATAGTTTGCTCATCAACATTATGAAGTAATGCTCTAAATAAATGTATTTGTAAACTACTATAAATTTATAGAAAATCCTGTTATGTTTTCTCATCTGACAATATCCATATATCTTGATTATAAAATTTTTCCACGCTCCATGGCAACCATTCAAAGGGAGCTCATCACATGCAAGTCTAACTGAAACACAACATCCTCCAACACTCTACAAGTACACCAATGAGTGTCTTATCATAATTGAATATTAGGATCATATGTTCAATATGCCAAAAACTAGTTTGCCTAAAAAATGATTCCATCATATTATAGTGCCTACTTTTAAAATTCAAGTATCCTATACAACAACCAAAAATTTACATATCAAGTAATGTTCACTAAAACTAAAAATTACACCAAAATATTGCTTACTATTTCTTTATATACAAATTTTTTTAAAAATAAATATATTATAACAAAATTAAACTTAAATTATTACCTCACAAAGTAAATTTAATACAAAGTAAAATTTAATTTATTACATTTTGTGAATTATAACAAATTATATAAATCTGTAAAATTTAAATTATAGATAAAAAAAACCATACATCAAACAATATACTAAAATAAGATTATTTTAATTTATAAAGTCCATTAATATAAATAAATAAATTACTACAATACAAAATTAAATTAAAATTCTTGAAATATATTTAATCCTCACTAAATTTAAATTTATTGCAACATAGTAAATTACATAAAAAAATTCTACTGACACACTAATAGTTGTACAACAGATAATATAATGGATTAAATATATGATTATACGATACATTACCATAACAATATATATATATATATATATATATATATATAATAAACAATTGATTAAATATACAATAATTAAATTAATGTTTATAAATATTTCTAATGACAGATTAAATTAAATAAAAAATAAAGTACACTTAAATAATTTCTTAAAATATTACCTTGATTTACTTGTAATATATAACTAAAAATATTAAGTCAATTTAAATTATTATTTATTTCTATTGCAACTACTTTGAACTGCTTTCACTTTTTGGAATATATATATATAGAATGTACATTAGCAAAACAACGTAGCAACTCGGATATTGAAATAAACTTTAATCAATTTTTGTGTTGTAAGAAAGTCAATTAATTAAAAT